ATAATTTTGACCCATACAATGTTTTTTTTGGCTATTGCTACAAATATACCCCAGCAACTTAAGACTGCTTTTGTGCTCCAGGGTCACATTTGTCTTTTTATATAGCATTGACCTTGTTTATATTTTTTAAACACATGGAAGAAATGCATGCTTTTATTAGTAGTCTTTGCTAACGCATTACAAAATATAGCCCTTACTGTTAAGCATAGCTGTCCTACACTGTTTATACTATAGACTCAGTAAACATCCACCTAGCAACCATCCAGGATAACTTGGAAACCAAGTCAAACATCCATATTGCTCAAGAATATGTACAACAATAGTGCCTTAACGCTATAAAGCCTATTGTATCATATTTGATATGCAAATTTCTAGGGCATTTATCAACATAATTAAAATGTTGCTGAAAAACTTGTTGTTTACAATCTACTACATGCATTCTGTTGTCTGATTGAAAGTGTATACTTTTTTAGCCAGTAAAAGGCCTCTTAGTGTAATTGCATTGTATTGTATTGCATTATATGTTTAGAAACTACAGAGCTTTGATCATAAAGTTAAACTTTTAAATATTATCTCACGAAGACATTTTATTGGGAGATATGGAGTGAAAAGTGATATTAATATGCATTTTATGTCAGTCTGTTATACTGTTATAAAGATCTCATTGATTTACATTACAAGCTGAATTTCATCTTACTTTTTGGCCATATCAGCAACTGCACCAAATGACATATTTTTGCTCAATTTGGGACTCAGAATAAAATGTAGGTGTTTTTTCCCTCCATATTCTCACTATATCACGCTCTATGAGGCATAAAAGCTTGATGTATCAAATATGATATTCAACAAAAACCTTGCTTAGATTTTTTTAACGAGTTTGTCTAAATTCAATTCCATTAGATTTTTTTCTGACTATTATTCATATGTCAGGCTTTACAGGGTTAAGATACAGCCCTGAAATAAATCACATTTCAAAATATTGTACATGCACACATTGTTTTAAATTAAACTCCAACATATTTTGCACATGGCAAAGGCATGGTATCCGATTGTTGGAGAAATGCACATTCTATCACGTTTGTTTGTAATTTAGCCTTATTTTTATGAGATTTGACAATATATGACCTCTCGTATCCAGAGCTCAGACACCCCTCTACCAGCCTATCCTCTTTCACTCGTTCTTCTGAGAGCCGATAGCATGAAAAAAACACTCTCAGCATGGCACATTCTTTCAGTTTTCAACACGGACCCTTTCATAGTATCTTCTTTTCAGTTCCTCGCATGGACGGCAAATGCAAGAAATAGGAAAACACCCAGAAAAAAGGCTACAGAAGGACCGAAAATGTTGAGTAAAGAAAGGCGGCATGGAAACGCTTTACTGTTACATGCAAAACTTTACAGTACCACATCAAATATCAAATAAAAGCACATACTGCCATCTGCGTTACAGACTAGACGATTCCTCTGCTGTTCTGCTGGAATCTCAAAACGCAGCTGAAAGTGGACGAGGAGCTGTTTGCACAATAGTCTTATCTATCAAAATTGCTTACTGTTATTGTGAATCCCCCCCCCACGCAGCCTTTCAGACCTCACTGGAGTGACCTAATAACCCACAGCAACCCACTCAGTGACCCCACCAAAACATTAACACAACAGAGCCTCAAATACCATAGGAAGAGGCCATTCAAACCCATCAATACACAATTAACACACTGATTAGCCTTTGCATCACAGCACAGAAAACAGAGCTTTACCTGTAATGAAGATTTATATCAACACTATCAGAATCAGGATGTTTTTTATGTGACTGCTCACCAAAGCTGCATTTACTTCATAAAAAAATACAATAATATTGTGAAATATTATTATAATTTCAAATAATTGTTTTCTATCATCATCATTCGGCATCATTACTCTTCAGTCTTCAGTGTCACGTGATCCTTCAGAAATCATTCTAATATGCTGATTTGCTGCTCGGGAAGCATTTTTATTATTATTATCAATGCTGAAAACAGTTGTGCTGCTTCATATTTTTGTAAAAACCTAAATTTCATAACAACAGCATTTATTTGAAATATAAATATATTGTACCACGTTCCATACAAATGTCTTTACTGTCACTATTGAAAATTTTAATGCATCTTTCCCAAAAAAACGTATTCATTTATATAAAAAAGATCATACTGAGCCCCACCTTTTGAACAGTAGTGTAAGTTTGCATAAAAATTTTTCCAGTTGTTGTCTAACATACAAACAACTGCACAATTCACACCATAAAAGACCATATACATAAATAAGTATTATATTTACTTCCTTAATAGACACATTGTTGAAGAAAAAAAATGCATTACTATCTCTAAAAACAACCTTTTTCTAGTTATCATTTCTAACCACTTTTTCAATAAAATCAGTTTCCTAAAGGATAAATCCTGGCCCTACATTTAAGATTCACTTATGAATACGCCACATTACGAAAATAAAACAGATCGCGAACGATCTGTCCTTCTTCCATATGAATTAAAGCGAAAAATACTTATGATTTATGTTTGAATTACATAATCATTTCAAACTACATATGCTGCAACAATCATGCCATCCATTTTTCAAAACAGAAAATAAAGAGATTTTACATATGCATTATTCTACACATCAACATCAAGTGTTGTGCTTATCTTATGGAGGGTCATAGCGGTTAATGGGCGTGTTTAAGAGTGTGTGACACTCTCGGATATAACCAACAAAGTTGTTATAGAGATGACAGTCCCGCATGGCGACCGAACACAAGAGACTGAAGTGTTGCCAGGATGAGTCTCTCCGCGCAGCGGTAGTGTTTAAGTCACCATCAATACTTGTAAATACTCTTGGAAAAACATGATTCGGCTAGCCTCGTTCTTTAATGTGAAAGGACTAGGAACAGGCCACAACACAGCCCAAATTTTACAACAAATAAATACACACACACACACACAGCTCGTAAGGGGTTTGTGGCATCTCTGTAGTAAAGCTCTGGCTGGTTTTGTCTGCTGACACAGATCTGACAATCTGACAAAGGACCATCAGTGATATAATCATTTCAAACTACATATGCTGCAACAATCATGCCATCCATTTTTCAAAACAGAAAATAAAGAGATTTTACATATGCATTATTCTACACATCAACATCAAGTGTTGTGCTTATCTTATGGAGGGTCATAGCGGTTAATGGGCGTGTTTAAGAGTGTGTGACACTCTCGGATATAACCAACAAAGTTGTTATAGAGATGACAGTCCCGCATGGCGACCGAACACAAGAGACTGAAGTGTTGCCAGGATGAGTCTCTCCGCGCAGCAGTAGTGTTTAAGTCACCATCAATACTTGTAAATACTCTTGGAAAAATATGATTCGGCTAGCCTCGTTCTTTAATGTGAAAGGACTAGGAACAGGCCACAACACAGCCCAAATTTTACAGCAAATAAATACACACACACACACACAGCTCGTAAGGGGTTTGTGGCATCTCTGTAGTAAAGCTCTGGCTGGTTTTGTCTGCTGACACACCCACACAGATCTGACAAAGGACCATCAGTGATGTCCCAGGACTCACATATTCAAACACGACCTGGGCGCTTATTCAAATACAGCTACTAGCAAGCAAGCTACTCTGTGCAATGCAGTCAAAACTGGACAAAAAGTTCTGGAGCTCAACACGTATTAGGTTTCATAGATTACAGGCCGTTTTCATTTCCATTCAAATCCTCACAGATTGGTAACTGTGTCATATCAGTACTAAAGTATTCTGAAATATACAGTATATTACCATAACTATACCATGCCATTTACATCGGTGATTCTCAACTGGTGGGTTGCATCCAAAAATGAGTTACACGTCTGTTCTGATCGGGTCACAGACATCAGGGATAAAAACAAAGCGAAATGAATCTAACGCAATTCAATTATTTACCCATGCATATAGTCATAATGGCAAAATTTACTGTTTAAACAGAGGAGAAAAAGCTCTTTTGTGATCCTTTTGTTGTTGACGTCAAAGGTTGTGCATCCAAACAATCTTTACAGTACTACAAATTCACCTGTCACTAAGACTAATACTAATATTACATTTAGCAGAGTGTTTGTTTAGTGTGTTTGGCTGGTAAATCACTTCTGCTGTTGGTTATTACAAAATTGTCAATTTTCCTATTCATGTCTAGTATGTCATATTAATAATTTGCATACTGTTGGACCTGTGCATTTCATTTCATACATTTCAATGTTTAACTTAAGATTGTCAAATATGACTTCAGAGGCAAAACCATCATGCAAATTAAATTAGACTGTGACTAATATCTAAACAAATGTGACTACAGTAAATTATCGCACATCATAAGTGTGGACGGACAAAAACTGATTCTAATTCTTTAGTTTAGTAATTGTAATATCGAGGTATTTTGATAGAAGCCATAATGGTGAATTGATAATGCATGGTACTTCAAAGAATGCCATGGCATGGTATATATTTACAATAACAGCATGCTTCTTTTTGAAAAATAATAATAAAACTAACTTCTCGGCCATTCACAGAGGTTCTTAAAGCGTATACACAAGACTTTTGCAGTGTTGGTCGAATGCTAGAAGATTCTGAAAAGTTTGATTCTGCCCCGTCTCGCTCCCCTGGTTGCAATGACTATGAAAAGCGCGAAAGAACGCTTTCATGTGGCGCGCTCTGCGCCAGACAGACCTGCTGGAACGGACCTAGCGCCTCGTGCATGTAGAGTTAAAATGATCTGAGGAAACGAAAACCACCGAGAAGCATTCGTCTGAATTTAGGAATAGACTAAAGAATATGAAGCATCTGCTCCAAAGATATTTAATAACTGATGCAAGTTGGATGTAACACTGACCCTCATAGTGCATGCAGAACTAAATGTTTCTAGATTCTGTGCAATTATATGTGCATTTATATTACACAAACAAATCACTGATATACAGAATAATAAAATGATCGGGGGGGAAAACTCACTGTTTTTGAATCCAGCTCGTGTCTGTTTTGGGCCAAAACTTTATCCACACCGGTCTGGTCTACATAGGTCACAAATCCAAACCCCCTGCGCAAAAGCATTGCATGCACAAACATTACGCGTAAGAATTAAGTTACAAACACACAAACAAACAAGTCAGCAGTAGATGTGCGCGCGCCTCCCCCTCACCTCGACCGCTTCGTAACCGGATCCCTCATCACCATACAATCCTTCACCTCGCCGAATTTACAAAAGTATTCATTCAGCCCTTCTGGAGAAAGAAAAGCACAATGCATTTATTTCATAACATCAGTTTAGTGACGCAAATCATGTTTGATGTACCTTAAACCAAACGTTTGCTGCTACTAGATCAGCATTGAGACTGCCCATCCACTTTGCATCTCAACAATGGTGCTCATTATAAAGCTCTGGTAAGCATTCTTATTATAATGTTCTAAGCTAAGCTGAGTATTTGAATAACAACGCAGGCATGCAACCAGAGATTTTCCACACATTTATTCAACCACATCAGTGCCTCCGAGTCCACACTAGCGCCCTTGCTTTCACCTCAAATCACCACGAGCTCACTATATATATATATACATCGTCTGTAGCTGTCGTGGAAGTATTGCAAGAGACGTTTAATGATAAAACATGCCAAGTTTTGATCTATAAATATTCACCTATGTAAAGAATATCTAACGCATTAGGCTCGCGCGTTGAATGCATGCATGATTTCACGGTGCACGAACTATTTGCTTTCTGTTTCAAACCAAACAAACATAGAAAGAAGAAATGCTCCCGAGCTCACAGCAGCCCATGCATGAGACTGTCTGTGGAAGTAGCACGCAGGACAGAAGATCACGCGTGTCTCACCTTGTGTCGTCTGCCAGCTCAACCCGCCGATGAACATTTTGCTGAAAGGTGAAAAAGAAAGTCAGATCAGACACCTGAAAGTCTTCTGAAACGCTACCGATTACTGGTGCATGTTTAAATACAGCAATCAACACTCCAAAATCGTAATAAATCAAGCGGAAAAGTGAAATTCGGCCATGATGGATGGATGGGTGCCGTTATTTCCATTGAAAACGCAGAACTGATTCTTTCCTCTCCGTTAAAAAGTAACAAGTTCGATCATCCCCGTTTGAAAAAAAGCGAAATGGAATGTAATAATATAATGTGTTGGAAACAATATAACAGCTCCAAATGTAACAGATGGAAACAATGTAACAGCGCGCGTCCTGGTAAGAGGGAACATGGAAACAATGTAACAGTGAGGCTCCTGGCTGTTACATTGTTTCCATTTTCGCTCTTTCGTGAAGGAACCCGCGCTTGTGTCTTTTGTCTCCGGTGGTCTCTTTCCTCTTGGTCCCAGAATACTCAGGTTTAAATGAACAGATTTATATATAGATCTCCCGTTCGCGAGGAAAAGTCAAGCGGAGCGCGCAGAAAAGAAGCTTTACCAGGGGTCGTGCGGGGAGTCCTGCGTGGAGGACGACAGGCTGCTCTGACTCCCTTCTGTGTCCATTCCCGTGTCCCTCTGTTGCCCGGACTGTGAGCCGAACGGGATCCAGGAGTCTCCAACTCAAGAGCGGGTGGCCCGAGGGGGTGGGGGAGGGAGGGAGGGCCCGTCTGGAGGAGGACGGGCCAAGCGTGGATTGCGCACACACGGAGGCTCCGCCTCCCGTTTGACTTTTCCCGGACTCTCGTAGTTTGCTCCGCCCCCTTTGTCTCCCCGGCCCCGCCCGCTTTTATATGCTGTTGTACAGTAGCGGAGTCGAAACGTGGTCAGTCTGAAGAAAGAGACAGACAGACTGTCTGATAGACAGACAGACAGATAGACAGACAGACAGACAGACAGACAGACAGATAGACAGATAGACAGATAGATAGACAGATAGATAGATAGATAGATAGATAGATAGATAGATAGATAGATAGATAGAGAAATAGATAGGTAGACAGACAGGTAGACAGACAGACAGACAGACAGACAGACAGACAGACAGACAGACAGACAGACAGACAGATAGATAGATAGATAGATAGATAGATAGATAGATAGATAGATAGATAGATAGATAGATAGATAGATAGATAGATAGATAGATAGATAGATAGAGTAGATAAAATAAAAAATCAGATGACAAACAGATGGATGGATGGACGAACAGTCAGAAGAAAAAAAAACAGATTATTTTTTAATAAAAAGTAAACACTATAGATTATAGACTGCTATATATATATATATATATATATATATATATATATATATAAAATAAGACATAGACAATGATACAGATGATATAGAGATAGCAAGACAGACAGATACATAGATTAAGACTGTTGTGTCTATTGTGTGTACCATCAACCAAACCAACCCAGCCAATATCACACAGCATCAGGCTGAGTTTGGTGATTGGTAGTCTGGATTCCAGCCGGCCTGAATTGGCACAAAGTCAAGACCAGGTGATTGGTGGTTTGCATGTGAGGGTGGGGCCAACAGACTGACCAAAACCATTTGTAGTCCTCAGGGAGGTGTGCATTGTTCCTCATAGACATCAGCATCTCATGTGGTATTGTTGTCATTTTAATGTTTTGTTATTTTGTGATCTGTTACAAATAAGTAAGTACTGACATTAAGAGGTCAGGCTGGAAAAATAGTTTAATAATTTGGAATATTAAAGCCTGTTTCAAAATAGATTTACTGGCTCTGAGCACATTTACCTTGAAACATAATTGAAAAAATGTAAACAATTTATACCAAACTATGTGGTTCACAAAACATCTCATGCACAAATAAAATGTGGATTTTATGTTTCCTAATTTGTTTACTTCAATAAAGCACAAGAAAAAAAAAGACATCTGAATGCAAAAAGCATGCATCTCTATGACATTTACATTTAATCATATTGTTATCCAAAGCAACTTGAGGAAAAGCAAAAGCAATTTATCATACAAAAGCCAACAATATCAGCAGTTAAGAGCACAAAAGCTAGAGCAGAAATGCTCCTGCAAAAGGAAACTAATTCAACCTAGATATATGAAACGTGATATTCCAGTAGAAGACAAGAAAACAGATGCAAAGTGAAAATCTAAAATCAGATCCAAAATAAAACTCATGCACCATAAGTTTTGAGAGCAGTTCGTAGGCTGAACAGGTAGGAATGCCACAATTTGTAAAACATTTGCGTGCTTATGTATCACGGCTCAAGAGTTTGTCAGTGCGGTTGCCCTGTCTGTGTGTGTGTGTGTGTGTGTGTGTGTGTGTGTGTGTGTGTGGAGAAGCAGTATGTAGGACAGCGCCCCAGCGCTCCCGACTGGAGCTATGGGCGTGCTAAATTTCTGCATGCATGATCAATGGCTTTGAATAAAGAGAAAGAGGGAGAGGGGGAGGGGAAGGAATTAGTTTGAAAGGGGGTTGAGAAGAGGATGAAAACAGAATGATGAGACTGCGCAGGAAAAGTACCTAAACAGTGGGTGACGATGAGTGATGTACATCTGTTTTCATATGCAACTTTTATTCTTTTGCATAGGCTGGCAGCTTAAACACAGTCCTTTGAAGTTGGTTTGGACATGACAGGACAGGAGTCAATGAAGCAGGTCCTGGAACGGCACAAAAGAGATGAGGAAAGCAAAATAAGAAGTTGCACCACAGATAAATAATATGGCATCTTTAAAGGGGGCACTGGGGCTAGTTGTCATGGAGGCTATGACATTTTGAGTCAGAAGTTCAATTACACAAATTCTTGTTTTCTCCAGCAGTGCTTTTGTATGTTGCTTTCAGACATCTAGTTCAAAACTGCCATAAAGTAGAATTATGTTTGTGTCTTCTGAAGTAACATTCCCATCACATCTTTGCTGTAGCTGTTGGGTAACAAGTAAACATAACAACTGTAAACTTAACTGGATTTTAACTGTAGGCTGAAACGGGTTTCATATGAAAGATTGTTTCTGCCACGGGATTACGAAAAAAAACCTTTTATTTCACAATTCAGACTTTTTTACTCACAATTCTGAATTTATATATCGCTGTCTTTTTTCTCACAACATATATTTTTTCCATTGTTTCATAAATGTCAGATTGGGGCATGTTGTCACAGATGTTGTAATTATATATAATTTATTAAATACAATTTATGTTGGCTAAAACAACATGTATGTTACCTTTCATATTAATATCTATAACATGATATATTACATTTTCTCAACGCAAATGTGACAACTTACCCCATATAGTGTGACAACTTGCAATGTGTGGTAAATTAAACGAAACTGACTTTCAGAAATGAAACCCACCCTGAGAAATATTTATTGGAGTCTCCACTATATGCTTTTTTTCCCACGATAATGCTGATTGATTTAGTCATGCATTGTAAAAATTTAATATATCATAAAATAGTCCTATGAAACATGACGACGGAATGTTTTGCTCTGTTTCTTCCCACTCTTTCTTTACCCGAACTTGCACAGTCACACAAACTAGTGTGATTTTCTTGGCCATTCATCAGTCCTGTGGCTCTTTTGACCCTGGGTCTCACATGCTATTGTTGCTCTTTAACCTCTGTCAACCCTGAGACCTGCTCCCCGACTCACTGATTCTGTTAAGCAGGAAAGGAGGCCTAACTTTTGGCCTCTTTGTCTTTTCCTCCTTTGAGATAAACTGCAAAAATGAATGAGAGAAAAGTCACAATTAGGGCTACAGACAGACATTTTTATTTGTATTTATTTTTTAAGAAATCGCTTCTGCTCACCAAGGCTGCATTTATTTAATCAAAAATATAGTAAAACAGTAATATTGTGAAATATGATTACAATTTAAAATAATGATGTTCTACTTGAACATATTTTAATAATTTATTCCTGTGATCAAAGCTGAATTTTCAGCATCATTACTCAAGTCTTCAGTGTCACATGATCCTTCAGAAATCTTTCTAATCTCTAGAAACATTTCTGATTATTATCAAGGTTGAAAATTTTGAGTTTTGCTGCCTATTTTTATTTTTTCAAAATTCTTTGATGACTAGAAAAAATATTTTAAAATATAATTATTTTGTAAACTTATAAATGTCTTTACTTTCACTTTTGATCAGTTTAATGCATCCTTGGTGAATAAAGGTATGCATTTCTTTAAAAAAATCTAACCTGAAATAATATACAGTGGGTACGAAAAGTATTCAGACCCCCTTAAATTTTTCACTCTTTGTTATATTGCAGCCATTTGCTAAAATCATTTTCTGAATACTTAGGACCATGTGATATTTCAGTTTTTCTTTTTTAATAAATCTGCAAAAATGTCAACAATTCTGTGTTTTTCTGTCAATATGGGGTGCTGTGTGTACATTAATGAGGAAAAAAAATTAACTTAAATGATTTTAGCAAATGGCTGCAATATAACAAAGAGTGAAAAATTTAAGGGGGTCTGAATTAAAAAGGGGGACTGTATATAAAAATTATATATATATATATATATAAATTTGAAATGATATATAAAAATGGTATAGAAATCATTTTTACTAAGAATTTGCAAGTAAAATTCACAAAGAAACGGCAAATAATACATTAAATTAAGTGTAAAATTTTGAAGACTGAAATAGTGTTTTCTTGGAAAATGTCCTCCAATAATCTATGCTTTATTTACAACTTTGAAAAATATTTTTTTACAAGCTATATTCAGTTCATATTGAGATCTCTGACCCGTAAATGCTTTATCAATATTGTAAATGTGTATAGTCATGCCAATAAACCTTAGCCTATTGACTCAGACAGCTGAACGCGTATCTGTTTGCGTGAGTGATTGCGGTAGGCATAGTTATACAGCACAAAAGGTCCAATTTAGATCTAGATCCCTGTAAATCTTCTTACATTAAGTTGCCAAGGAGTGAACTTGGGCAGATTCTGATTGGATGAGAACATCCGATGAGCCAATAAGGAAGTCAGACTGTTTCCATTCAGGAAGTAAGCACCTGAACACGATGTACACAGTCATCACACCTTTACCTCCAATACTGAACGTACTGTCCATCCTCAGCACCGCAGCCAAAAGGAAGAGAGGTAAATAGAGGGAGAGACGGAGTGCAAATGAGTGCATGAAGGCTAATTGTACTGTCATCAAGATTGCATGAAACTCCCATGTGACATCCTTCCTATCCGGATTACCTGAGTCAGAGATCCACAGGCTGCAAGAGCAGCCCGATCACCAGCCGAATATCTCTCTTAATCCTTTTTCCATGCCCCCCTCCTTCCTTCAACATATCAGCACCATTCCTCGCCTCTATTTATAGGGTCACAGCGTTCCCTCTCTCTGTGGGGCGAAGGGGGGTTTGTTTGGAACGTCACCCTGCCTGGTTAGCGAATGGGTTAGTGAAGGATTTTGGTGGGGGTCACGACGGAGGACATGGGAGTCTCCTACTGACCAGGGCACATTTATTTTTATTTTTTATTTGTTTAACATCCGTCCGATCAGGTGAACTGGTTTGGTGTGTTCTTAAAGGGATAGTTCACCCAGAAAGGGAAGTTCTGTCATTGTTTACTTACGAGTTGCAAACCTGTGTTACTTTCTTTCATCTGTGGAGCATAAAAACAGATGCTAGGCAGAATGTACAAGCAGCTC